CCGTGTCACTTGCACCATCACTCCTAGTACCTTTCCCTACCAGGCCTCCTCTACCACGATAGGATCTAGGAAAGATGACACATTAGGGAGTTGTTTGAATTAACTGTTTAAATATAACTTTTTTTTTTTGCACAGCAAAATGAAATTTATTAAATGGACTGCCCTTAATACAAAAAAAAACTGTCATTGAGCATCCACTTTCTACAGCTTAACTAACCCAATAGATCATCAGTAGATCAGAAACAGCTACAGTCAAATATCTGCTCAACAAGCCTTAGTGAACCAATTGTATGCTTTTACAATAAAAAATGCAAGTCAATTTGTGCATACCCACCAGGCCCCGGCATCCCTTTGTCATGCTTTTGAGGCAGCGTCTGTTTCCCTTTTTTGAACGTTTGGAACCATCAGACACTTCATTCTCTTCCTGCCATATTTAATTTGAAGACATGCAACAGGGTTAATAACCCAATCTGAGAAGTTAAAGACACACTTATTGTTTCTTGTTCTGATCCAGAAGTAAGATCTCAGTTGGATAATTTCTAACAGCTTCCCTGCATTAGTCTTTGAGTCATGAAAAACCTTTTTGTTTCTTGCCAACCACACGGACCAAACCAGTGTGTTCCATATGCAATCCCTGCCTTGCCTGATCCGTGAGTCCTTAATTTGTGTTCCAAAAAGCTCAAAAGTTTTCCAACAATCATTCTCCAATAATACATTAATACCCCACCATTTAGCACATTCCTCCCATAGCCATCTAACAACCTTACATTTCAGGAACAGATGGGCAGCGTCCTCATCCTCTTCCTTGCACATTGTATATACTCCTTCTCCCAAGTTCTTGATAATCCCTCTTTGAATCAAGTTAAGCTTAGTTGGAATTCTGTCTAACAATAATTGCCAATTGAAAGTAGAGATTAACTGTTTAAATATAACTAATAACTAATAATTGATATCTGATTGTTGATAATCATTATTGTTTATAATTCAAAATATCTAATTCATTTGATTAAAACCAACAATTGATAGCTATTTGTAAAAAGCTAAAAAAAAAAAAAAAAAAAAACTCCTAGGTCTTTTCATCGACAACAGTAAACTGTCCACTTCCCATAACCTATGCCCTCCCAAACGTCCAGCCTCCCCCATTGGCTTTGGTAGCAACTCCATCTCCTCCTCCATTGCCGAAATCCTTAGCCAATTGCCCATCATAAGCAGCAGTCCATCCATGCCATCCAGCTTCTACCCTATGTGGCAGAATAGAAATCTCATCTTATTATAACGTAGGGTTACAAGATATACAAGCACACACATGTATACACTAGATGTATAATGACTTAGATACCCTTAACTATAAATACAAATACAATGTACACCATCATCTCCCCAGAATTTGAGCAGAATAAGCAAGCATGCACAAATTAGTCCTCTTACAAATGAAAGCCAATGCTAACAAAGACTATGTTATAACATCAGCCAATTGAGATGAAGAAGGAACATACTAAAGCAACACAACATGAGATGCAACCTTTTTCCCGAACAAAATGAATATCAATCTCAATATGCTTCATTCTCTAATGCTCATTAGGATTTAAGAACATGTAAATAGTACTAATATTATCATAGTAAACAACAATAGGAGAGAACAAAGAGAAATGTTGTTCAGCTAACAATTGTGTCACCTAAAGAACCTTAGCAATTTCGATTGCCATGGCCTTGTATTTAGCTTCAACATTGGAGGAGGCAATTGTATATTGCTTCTCGTATGACCAAGAAATGAGAGAACGACTAAAAATAGACAATAGCTAGAGGTAGAACGATGAGTATCAAGACAACTAGTCCAATCAGCATCAGTATAAATATGTAAGACAGCAATTTGAGTCACAATTTAATTGACATGATAAATAGTACCCTTCAAGTAAAGGAAAACATGTTTCATAGCTTGAAAGTGATTCTAAGTAGGAGTATGTATGTATTAACATACTTGGTGCATAGAATGAGTA